TTAACCTATCATCTGTTCATTTAACGTGCCATGTGTCCCTTTAACGTGCCAGCTGTTAATTTAACTGACGGAAGGATCATTTTGGTACCGAAAATAAAAGTTTAAGGATAATTTTGGTACTTTTTAAAGCTGAGGGACAATTTTGGTACCAAAGTGAAAAGTTGAGGGACCAAAATGGTACTTAAACCTTTTTTTATTTGTAAGTGGTACACATTATTAAAAGATATTATATAGGAAAATTGAGGTTTAATTAATAAATAAACCTTTGAACTTAACAAATTGTAACTTTTAAGTACTTAAATTTAAAATTTTAAGTAATTAAAATTTTCAGCAATTAAGTTTGATTTTTTTGAATAACATTGTGATAATTAAATTTTAAAATACATGATAATGGTATCTTAATAGGTTAGTATTTTTTATTTAAATTAAAAACTGTTCACTTTAATTTAATTTTAAATTATGTAAGATCTTGATCATTTCTTATATAATGAAAAATTAAATAATAAAATTATAGATAAACATAACTTTAAAAATGCATAATATATATTAAAAATTTGGTATTACATAGAGGTAAAAAAGAGATATATGAAGTGAATTTGAGTGGTTATGAATATTGAAGAACTGCTTTTATATCAGTAAAAGTCAATCAATACTAATTTTGTATAAGATATAATTAGGGAAATTTTGATAGGAATAAATGAAATTTTGTATATATTATTATAATAATATAAGAATATAATACTTCTTATATTTCATTTTTTACAAACTCAAGACATTATAAACAGCTCTCTATAATGTGGTGAAAAATGTTAGTCAGAATATTAACTATGGTGGAGCTTATCAGTTTTGCAATATATTGATAATAAAACCCTTTGTATTCTGCTAAGGTAATAGATAACAAACCCTAGAGGCAGAATTAATTTTTCAATTAAATCGAGTTTTTTTTTTTTACATTATTTTTATCTAAATTCTAACCCTATACATTAATCATGAAGCAAAACTACATAGAAAAATTAAAGCTAAGGATTGAAAAGAAGACATTTTGCTGAGAGAGAATGAGATTTTTTTTTTTTTTTGGTTAATTGTATGTTGAAAGATATTTGGGGACCCTTTAATGGCCTTTATTTATGGAAAGACAGAGAGGTTTGGTGGGCGATTCGTGGACACGAAGGAAGAACTTTCTTTTTTGAAATGTCCAACGTTGAATCATATGACAACGCCATGGTGTTTGTGTAGAATGCATTGAATCATACACACAGGGACGGAGTCAGCATAGGAGAAAGGACGCAGCGGTC